CCGGGGGGGGACGGGCCGGGGGGGCGGGGGGGAGCCGCACAGACCCCAGCTCAGGACAGCTGCAGCTTACTGAGCTGACCCCATCCCAGCCCCTGCCCCGGCTGCTCCCTCCCCTGCCGGGCCCCTGGGATTCGCCCTCGCCATCTGCGCACTGCACTGTTGCGCTTGTCACGCAGCAAATTCCGTGGCCAAGGACATAGCATGCTGGTGCAGTTGTGGGGGCAACAGGGGGCGCTGCTGTGCCAACGTGGGGGGATAGCAAAGGGAGGGACACTGTCGTGCCCGTCCTGGGAGGCTGCGGGGCAGGGGCACCGTTATACCAATGCTAGTGGGTTGATTGGGGGAGGAAGGTTGTCATGCCCATGCTGGGGGGCTGCTGTCATGGAAGGGAGATGATAGGAGGATGGGGGGGCAGACAGGAAGGTGATGGGGGCCTGTGATGCCAGCCCCACAGAACAGGGGGAGCCCTACAGAGCCAGGTGTGCCGGGGGCCCCCACTACCTCCACATTCTGCAGCATCTGCTTGAGGGCGTAGATGAAGTTCTGGATCTCCTCGTTCTTCACGGCGAGCGTGGTGATGATCTTCCGCAGGGCGTCCTGGGCCAAAAGAGCCACACCTGCTCTCAGGGGCATCCCTGGGCTCTACCCCCACCCCTGGTCCTGAGCCAGGGGCAATTCACCCTTCCCCAGGGCTCAGCTCAGCTCTCCAGTGGGGGACCCTTGCTGGGATGGGGAGACGCTGCCCCTCGTGCCTTCCATGCGAGTATCTGTACCTGCACTCCAGACATGAGGTGCCTAGGCTGACAGCACCCTGGGCAGTAACATTATATTAACACCCTCCCCCCACACACATTAAACAACTAGGGAAACTGAGGCACAGATGGGTGAATTTACTTGCCTACGGTCACACAGGGACTCAAACAGCAGGGCCAGGAATGGAACCCAGGAGTCTGGATTCCTAGTCTCTCTCTCATAGAATCCTAGGGCTGGAAGAGACCTCAGGAGTCATCAAGTCCAGCCCCCTGCCCGAGGCAGGACCAATCCCAACTCAATCAACCCGGCCAGGGCTGTGTCAAGCCGAGACTTAAAAACCTCTAGGGATGGAGACTCCACCCCCTCCCTAGGGAACCCATTCCAGTGCTTCACCCCCCGCCTAGGGAAATAGTTTTTCCTAATATCCAACCTAGACCTCTCCCACTGTAACTTGAGACCATTGCTCCTTGTTCTGCATCTGTCCCCACTGAGAACAGCCTCTCGCCAGCCTCTTTGGAACCCCCCTTCAGGAAGTTGAAGGTTGCTCTCAAATCCCCCCTCACTCTTCTCTTCTGCAGACTAAACAAACCCAAATCCCTCAGTCTCTCCTCATAAATCGTGTGCTCCAGCCCCCTCATCATTTTGGTCGCCCTCCACTGGACTTTCTCCAATGCATCTACATCCTTTCTCTAGGGGGGGGGGGGGAGGGGAGAACTGGACACAATACTCCAAATAATACTCTCCTCCTGCATCTCTTTTATCCCAGGAATGATAGATATATATATACACCCATATCTATCTATCTATCTATCTATCTATCTATCTATCTATCTATCTCAAATGCATTTATTACACAACTCCTCAGACAATGGGCAGAGTACCCAGCTCCCTTCCCAGCTCAGCCCCTGTCCTACTGAGTGACCTTGGGAAGTCCCTTCATCACCCTGTGCCTCAGTTTCCCCTCACCCTATGTGTCTTGTCTATTTCGATCGACTGTAAGGACTTTGGGGCCGGGACTGTGTCTCACTAAGGGTACGTCTAGACTACAGGCTTTTGTCGACAGATGTTTTGTCGACAGATACTGTCGACAAAGCTTCTGTCGACAAAGAGCGTCTAGACTACATCCAGTTCTGTCGACAAAGCAAGCTGCTTTGTCGACATGGTAGTGTAGACGCAAAGGACAGTTTACATGCAATAACACCTTCTGTCGACAGAAGGCGTTATGCCTCATAAAATGAGGTTTACCAGCGTCGACAAAACTGCTGAGTTCTGTTGACGTTATGTCGGTAGTGTAGACGCAGGTATAGTTTTGTCGACATAAGTGGACTTTTGTCGACAAAACCCTGTAGTCTAGACACACCCTAGGTGTCTGTGCCACACCGGACACTGGGGGCCCCAATCTCAGTTGGGGTCTCTGTGTGTAACTTTAATGCACATAGTCAAAATACCGTCTCTGGCTGGGATTTGCCTAGACAGAGTTCGGGGCAGGATTTCTGCACCTGTTTTTACCACCCCCACCGCTGGACAAACCCAGCCACCTGCCCTCGCCAGGAGACTGGTCCCAGCGAATTGCAGGCACTGAATGTTCACAGCACCTTCCACTAAGCACTTACACAATGTGCCTCCACCCCCGGAGGTGCATGAGAATCACCCCACGTCCACCTACAGATGGAGAAACCGAGGCACACAGAGGGTGGAGGTTTTCAGAGGTACAAAGCACCACAACTGCCGCTGCATGACAGGGGACCCAGGCCAAGGTCACTCGGGCCGGCCTGGCTCTACAGGTGGATCCATACAGGTACATTCTACCCATCTATGTCGGATCCAATCACAGGGATGCAGGCTAAGCTTGACACTGAACTAGGAGCCCAGACTCCCCATCCTACTCTAAAAGGAGGACTATGTAGCACTTTAAAGACTAACAAGATGGTTTATTAGGTGATGAGCTTTCATGGGCCAGACCCACTTCCTCAGATCAAGTAGTGGAATAGTGACTATTTTCTTCCACTACTTGATCTGAGGAAGTGGGTCTGGCCCATGAAAGCTCATCACCTAATAAACCATCTTGTTAGTCTTTAAAGTGCTACATAGTCCTGCATTTTGCTTCAGCTACACCAGACTAACACGGCTACATTTCTATTACTACTCTAAAAGGGAGCTCCTCTGTCCTCCTGGAGGGATCAGGCTGGGGAGGGGTCTATAGATCTGTCCAGTTTAGGAGTGGGTGGGTCTGTAGATCTGTCCAGCTGGGGAAATAGGCTGTGTGTGTATCAGTAGTTCTGTCCAGCTCGGGGGGTGTCTATAGATCTGTCCAGCTGGGGATGCGGAGGTCTGTAGATCTGTCTAGCAGGGGAAATAGGCTGTGTTTGTATGTCTGTAGTTCTATTTAGCTGGGGGTGGGTGGGTGTCTGTACATCTATCCTGCCGAGAGGGCAGGTGTCTGTAGATCTATCCAGCTGGGGGAATAGGTTGCCTGTGTATCTGTAGTTCTGTCCAGCTGGGGGGAATAGGTTTTGTGTGTATGTCTGTAGTTCTGTCTAGCTGGAGGTTGGGTGTCTGTACATCTATCCAGCCGGGGGAATAGGTTGCCTGTGTGTGTGTGTGTCTGTTTTCCAGCCCAGCCACATTTTCCCCCCTGTGCAGAGACGACCCCAAACTCCCCGAGAGGCGCCGCTAAGGGGTGATTCCCCAGCCCCGTCCCCCGGAGGGAGGTCACACGCCTTCCTTTGTTGCACGTTCTCTGAATCACGTCCCCC